CATCTAATCTAAGTTATTATATTTCCTTTTCTTCAAATTCCAACAATACCTTAAAACGAACAGTGGAAGAATAACAAACGGAAACGAAAGAATAAATAAACATAAGCAACTGAGAGGTACCAACCTGTAATCGGATGCAGCTCGGAAGGTGCCGGTGGAGAGCGCATCAGCGGCGTCGACGTGGCGCTGCTCGTCGTCCAAAGTGCTTCCGTAATCGCTCTTTATGGACCAAGAATCCGCAGCGATAGAGCGATCGTCATCAGAAATGAGGTCGGAGGTGCTCGGAATTCTCGCTTGAGAAAGCTCCGAATCATCGGGAGGCCAACGAATTCCCGCCATGATCAAGAACACACTCACACAGGGATAAACAGGAAAGCCCTAGAATAAGTAGCAGCGGAGTATTCAACGACGGACATGAAAGAATGAATGTCAGCTAAACAGATACAATGATAGTCTGATAGAAGGCCTCAAGGTCAAACAGAATGTGCACTTGTGCGATTTTCGATGATCATCGTCTGGTTTTTTCTCGTTTTCGCCAAGGGATGTAATTAGCGACGCGCGCGTTGTCCTAACAAATTCTGAAATTCATCCCATTATTATATCTGACCAACCTGCAGCACGGGGCCGACTGCACGATTCTACTTCAGCGGTGAAGATGTCCACCTAGTGCCCATACGGCGTTAGTGTTTACTTTACTGGTGTTAAATCTCTCTCTCTCTTAGTTGTGTTTGGTTTGAGGGTTTTCTACCTTTTCCTTACTTTCCCTACCTTTTCTTCCAAACCAAATACTTCTTTTTCTTTCAAACGGAACCTGATTTTGCACCCGCCCCCGTAACTTTGTTCTGCGACAAAACCCCCCTCTGAACTCTTGGACTCTTAACACTTTGGTTTGAGTCAAAACAATGTCATTTTGGAAATCAACTCTTGGACCCTGCCCCCGTGGACTCTAACAATTTACTGAAAGCTGGTGCTGCCCCCGTAACACTATATGGTTCGCTCTAACACGTTGGTTATGTGGCTGTTTATTTGAAAAACAATGTCATATATTTTTCAATGGTTTTGATAAGGATATCGAGGTTATTATTGTGATATGAGATTGTCACTTGTAGGGTTGTTAATGATACCTAAAAATTCGATACTAGATCCATATGTGTTTATGTGATTGGTTTGTATTTAAACTGTGTAATTCAAATCTGACTGTTTTGGATTTGACTCCATGTGTTTCGATTAAAATTCCGAATTCAATCATATTATAATATTTATTGATTTTAATATATATTTTTTATGTAATTATATTTAAAATGATAATATTTATATATATATTATATATAATAAATTCAATACATATATTTACATTAATTTAATATATATAAAAGTTGAAAAGTAATTAATTTTTAAAATTTTTATATTTAAAAATTCAAGGTCAGATTAAATCCAAATCTGATCCGAGTCTGTTAGGATTCGGATTTTAATCTGAGGCCTTTAAATCTGATCGGATTTCAAATCAGATTCGAATGCAAGTTTTCCATAATTGTATTGGAATCCAAGACTATTACAGCCCTAACCACATGCAACACTCATGCATATTTTATATTTACTAGTTACTTGTAATGAATAAATGAATTAAAAACAACTTGTGTATACAATTTGATCCAAATATTCTCTATTAAAAGGGAAAATCTATGATGTGGGAAAATTTTGGTATCGGAAGAGTTTTGACCAATCAAAATCCACCCATGAATTTTGATAAATAACACATGATTGGCTGCCACGTTTATGATTCCAGATGACTAGTTATAAGTTTTTCAGATATCATATATTTTCGATATCATAGTCAAACACCTATTAAAAAATATAAACAAAAAACCCAAACCATTTTTTCTAATAATGCAAAAAAAACAAAACAATTATACTAGCATTATAATAGATAAAAGCATAAATTTCAAGTATATGCAAGCATATATGAGAGGGAGATTAAAATAGGATAATATCAGTTTGGGTTGGGATAGATTCATATTTGATCCAAATGTAGGTGGATCAACCTCGAATCACCTTTAACTAGATCAAATTGGAGGTAGGGGGGTCAATGGATCGGTTTTGAGTTGGATTCTGTTCGAATCAAAATCCATTTTGAACGGATTGGACGGACCAATAAAATATATTGAATTTGGATGGACTGGATGGACCAATATGACATATTGGATTGGACCTGGTCCGTCCATAATGAATTTATATTGGATTGAGCCAATATCTGGTTCATTGATAGAAGATAAGAATATAGGTGTCAATGGACCAGGTTTGAGTTGAAACCAATCTGAACATATTGAACAATCTTTGGACCGGTCCAAAATATTGAACAATCTTTGGACCGGTCCAAAATATTGAACAATCTTTGGACCGGTCCAAAATATTAATTGGACTGGATTGGACCAGGTCCATTTGTAATGGACTCACATTGGACTGGACCAGATCCAGTCCAATTGACACACCCCAAATTGGATGTGCATTTCAAATAAATGGATACTACCCTATTTGCAACAATGGTTTTCCTCTTGAATCTATTAATTCGAACAAACTCTCTTCATACTTATTGGAGACCCATTTGTATTTACTTCATTGGATCCCAGTTACCAAAGGTAAATAGAAACAACTAAACTCTATTGGAGATGCAAAGGTCTCCAAAGTAAGCAGAAATGGGGAAAATAAAGAAAAAATAAACCTTTTTGCCACTACATCACCTACTTTTACTACAAATTTTTAGGTAGGCATCTACTTTTACTACTTAGTGCGTTGAATGGTGGTCTTTTGGATGAAGCGTGTCTTTTGCTTTGTCTTGTGTTGATTATCAACAAAAAGAAAGTACCAAGCAAAATGTTCTCATCTATCATTACTACCACATACCAAACCAGTGAAGGAAAAAAAAAAAGAAAAAGAAAAACTAATTATAGAAGTAAAATCTCTTAGAGAGGCTGGACTCCGTCTTCAAATCAAGGTTCTTAAATTGGACCAGATAGGAAACTGTTATGAGTCTGGTTCCTTGGTTGAATGGTTTAACTGTTTGGTCCTAATAAACATCATGCTCCGATAGAAAGAATAAAAAAAAAAAAAACATGGTAAAAACTGTTGTATGGTTTGACGGTTTAATTGTCCAGGTCAGCGGATTGCTGACCAAATCAACGTTTTTGACCAAAAAACAGTTTTGGGTGAAAAACGGAATCATTCAGGTGACCGTTTATCGGTTTTTCCAGTCCAGTTTTGAAAACCATGCTTCAAATGTCACTAACATTTTTTTAGAAGAGATTAATTTTTTAATAAAGCTAATTGAATCATCTACATCATATAATGTCACATCCTCAACAATGTTCACTTTTTTTTTTTAAATAAATCTGCATTTACAATCAAAATCAATCAAACCATATCCATCTCCCTTTTCCTACTTGAATGAACAATAGTTTTGTTTCTCTCTCTCTCTCTCTTTTAAGTTAGAAGGGTTTTATTTTGTACCTTACAAATTTTCAATCGAATACTTATTGCTGTTTATTGATGATATTGTTATTTAGGATTAGTTCTTTGCAAATTATTTGATATTGTTATATGTATTGTAAATTGATTCAATTTATTCTTTTAACTTATTTATTTTATTTTTTTATAATAGCCATGATCTTCACTGCAAGCTTTGAAATGGTTGCTTAATTAGCTATATATTTGCATTGTATTTCAATTTAAAAGATTGTGACGAACATAAAAGTTAATTTTTTTAATAAAAATGCCTTTCAGAAAAAAAGTAATTATCTTATAACGATTTTCCATTGACCCCATCAAAAACTAATTAAAGCAAATAACTCTGCAAGTAACGAAAGAAATCATACCACGTCCTCTCTTTTTCCTTTTTTTAAATTCTTTTTCATATTTCTATTTAAATTTCATTCTTATAAGGTACTCCTTTTTTGAAAAGTATTCATACAATTATAACCTCTCTTTATTATATGATGATGATTATTATTATTATTATTTTTAATTTATTTACTTGATTGTAGAAAGAAGAAAATCCATTATAATCTCTTTACATCCAAGTAAAGTCTTCTACCTTCAAGCTTCAAAGCAAGGAATTTGTAGTGGGTTCTCCATAAAAATGTTTTTTTTCTTTTAATATATATTCAAAGTTCAAACCTATCTGATTCATTAAGATGAAGAGAAAAGGCGAAAGAACTTCTTCTTTTTCTTTTTTTCTTTTTTTTTTTCTTTGAGATTTGGTAATGTCTCAAGGCTTCAGGTAAAAGGATTATCCACGCAAGAAAAGTGTTTGCACATTAACCCACAATAAGGAGGTGCTTCTACAACATGAATGTTAATGAAATTGCGACATCAGCAAAAGAACAAAATCATGTTCCTAAACTACATTTTTGTTTTGAGAAGCAAATTAAAGCTAAGTTGGTTTTGTTTCAGATAACAATTTATATTTTGAAACCATCAAAATGATGGTTTAAAAAAAAAAATGGAGCAGGGATAATGTAGGATTTATGAATGATAATGATGAGATATCATAAGATGAAAACATGTTTTTTCTCCTGTTCCAGTTTTGGAAAAAGAGACATACAACTAATTAGAACATGTTATCCATGTTTTGTTTTTAGAAACAATTTGTTTTCAACGCATTTAGTTTTAATTCTTCTTTGAAAATCACAACAAGAAAAGCAATTCACATAGAAATATCCCCTAATTATCTGATGAGTTCCAACCCACAAAATATATGCAATTCCTTTTCTGGCAATGCTCTAAAGTCAAAATATAAATTATCCACACAGAAAAATCTGGACAACGTTAATTGGATATTTGGATACAACTATTAGTTCAAGTTCTTTCATGCGATCTGACGTAGAATGATTAATTTTCCTAACTCTTAAGTATCTCTCTTTTTTGCTAAAACTAGGAGAGTTACATTCCAAAAGAGAAGGGTCAAAGGAAGAAGAGGAAGAAGAAGAAGAACTGGTAATTTATCTTCATCTCGAACAAATGGGCTCTTCTGTAATGGTCTCTAGCAAGGGCTTCCTAGACCTACACATCGACAACCTATGCCTGAACTCTGGGGTTGAGAACTCTTCAATATCATCCAACTTCAGTCTGGGCAACGGTGTCTCGCTACCGCTCGAATTGTTAACAGCCGACACCGGTGTGACCCGTGAATCCCCACTGCTAGCCTCCGGCAAGATCCTGATCTTTCCATCCGAAGCCCGCTTGGCGGCCGAGTTGGCACTCATGAACAAAACCCCCATATCCGCTGCTGTGATAACAGATTTGACCCTCTTCATCGGGAACATGATATAAACATTACCCATCTCCAAATCTTCATCCGCGTTAAGCGCAGAAAACCTCCGCCCAATCTGCAGCGACCGCGAATTCACCAAGAAGTAATTGGGTGTCTCGAGCATCAGCTCCGCCGCCTTGACCTGCCCATCGAGTTGCCGGATTTTGCCACTTGGTAGGATCACTCTTGTGCCTCTTGACTGTCTCCCCGGTGGGCTGGCCAGCGTGCAAGAGATGTAGTTGCCCATGTGCGAAGAAGAAGAAAGGAGGAATTGGATGGTTCCTTTCTTAATTTCTACTGGTTCAGATTTCAGCAGTTGAAGAAGGTAGAGGGTAGAGACGACTTGAGGCCTTGTTCTTTGGTGGGTTACGTTGCGTTGTATATATAATTGCGGGAGATTCCGGCCAGTTGGGTCAGGGTTGACATGGTAGACGAATCCGCGTCGGAGGAATTCAGAAAAGGAGTGACGAGAGATAATAGATTCACGGAATACCTTTCTGGCTTTCTCTGTTCTGCTTGTGCTCGGTTAGGAGAAACTTGGCTGTTATTGCGCGTGGGACCCACCATGCTTTGCTTGTGAAATTGTCAGAGCGAAGGACGCACACATACCTAGCTTTTAACAACGGCTTCGTCGCAATGATTTCCTGTGTATTTGATTTTTCGGAGAAGTAAAAAAAACACACGATGCAGAATTCTGAATTCCAGCCCCCTTATTATTAGTCCTCTGACCCCTATAAATCACATCCTGTTGATGAATTTGACATCAATTCACGGTCAATATGCATTTGACATCAGTTCAGGAGGGCTAGAGAATTCTCATCTGGGCTGTTGCTATTTCTCCCTTGATTTTTTTTCCTTGATGTCAATTTCTCGGCAAGTCCTTTTCGTCAGCATTTGGGCAAACACGGCTCGTTTACTATCAGGTTGTGTTGGACGGTTTCAGATGGATGATCTGTACACGTGGTGGAAATCTAGGGGCTATAGTGGACCCAGTCTGAGTGGTAAGACTAAGAGTAGCAAACTTTGACATGATCGATCCCCCCAATCTTCCCGGATTTTCTGGGTATGGGTCGGGTATACCTAAACTAGGTTGGATGCCTGTCTGGATGGTTGGGTTAGGCATTTTCGCACATGACCCCAATTCGGCCCCACCCAACCCATTGATAAAATGGTCCATTGACTTCTGGACAATATGGCTTGAGCCTGGGCCGGCCAGGATTGGACCAGCCATCTAGCTCTATTTCGTTGAAAGTTGAAGCAGTCAACCTGGAGATCGGTTTCAATCAGTACAAATTCGTGCTCATATTATTCGAAAAGTCTCTTACAATTTTATATTGGGAATATCTTTCCCTAAAATAAAATACAGAAGTTCAGAGATATTTCCAATACAAAGCTGTTTGAATAGGCCTTGCTCTGACTAAAGCCGAATTTGTCAACCTGGCCCTGATGACGCCCAATCACAGATCACAATGATAGGCGTTGAGGTGTTGGTTTAATTGGTTTGGCTCAGTCAGATACTTTTCCGGTTCAACACGGCTCCAAGTAGATGGGCCTAGTTCGCTACAACTTCGAACACAGAAGTGGATAAAATATCACCGAAATCTCAAATGAGACGCTGACCTTGTGAAGTTGTAGCGCTAAAGGAAAGAGTTTAACAGAGTTAACTTTGCATCGCATGGCGGAAGGTTTGCTGTAGGCGGCATGTGGGAGTGTGTCGGTTACCGTGTTACCGAAGAAGGTGAGGTGCAGCTCACACCACCCTCAGTACCTGTACCTCACCATGTCACGGATTAATGGAACCATGGGACCGTAAGCTTAATTATTGTTCTTCGAGCATCAACATATAATAATATTCAATTATTTCTGGGATTGATTGGGGCACATGCCGTTTTTTAAATAAACCCGGGCACATCCCAAGCTAAAAGTATAAACATTTTTGCTCTATATTATTTGATCATGAGAAGTAAATTAGGAAGCAAAATAATGTGATATATATTTCACTTATGTAAAAGAAAATAGAGGTAGGAGAGGGTTATTTGTTTGTCAGGTAGGAAACAAGATTTTGTAGTCCACATGTCATGTTATATAAGAGAGATTAGAGGAAGAAGATGGTACAAATTTTGCATTAGTTTTTGAGATGCAAAATTTGCAAAACCAGTGAGTATAAATAAGACAAAAAAATACAAATTTTTATCAAAAAGTGAAAATCATATTAACAAACAAATGAATGCAAAATGTCTTATTCAGATTCAAACAGAATCATAAAGACTTAAAGAGTATTTTTGCATTACATACGGAAATTGTGTAATGAATATAAAAAAAACTTAAAATTACAAAAAATAATGATAATAAAGTTCATAAATAAATAATTAATATTTTACAAAATTATGTAAAAGCAGTATAAAATTTAATGTATTAAAATATTCAACAAATAATTAATATTTTAATATTATAAATAATGATATTATTAAATAACAAAATAATATTATAAATTATTTCACTTATATCAATTAATAATTATAGAAAATAAATTTCAAAAAATTAATATTTAACAATTATAATTTTAAAATCTGAATCTATATTTATTTTATATTTATATATAGTAAAATTAATATTTATTGTATTCTCAGTAAATATTTATTGTTTTTTGTGATAACTATTGGTGATTAAACTATTGTTATTTATTAGAGATTAGACTATTAATTCAGCAGAAATAAGGAGTGTTCACTAATTGTAGGCTGTTTGGCCAACCAAATCGACCAAGCCACTAACCATTAGTGGAAACCAACCAACTTGGGTTGTAACGGTTTGGGTCAATTTTTAATTTGGTTGGTTGTTCAAAAGATTTAAACTTAAAAATTGAATTTAAAATTTAAATTTAAACAATTATAGTGGCATTTTTTAAAAGTAAATTTATGATATAAAATATTTTAGACTAAGGAATATGAGAGTTTTCCTACTTTCCCTATTTAAAATATAAAACAAAACTTATTCAACCTAGTCAAGTTGGGAAATTGTTGAACCAAAATCGATCAGAAATATTAGAAATCGACTAACTCAAGTCAAATTGGGTCAGATTGGTCAGTTTCTTCAGTTTCATGAACAACCCTAGCTAAAATTAATTATAGTTATTTTTTTTGTATTGTAAAAAAAATATTAAAAGTAGTATATAAAATATAAGTAATTAATAATTATTTAAAAAATTGAAATATAAAACAATTATATATATATATACACATATATACAGTCTACGTCACCTTGCTTCTCCTTGCTTCATTACCCCAACCCTCCATTCTCCTTGACTCTCTCTCATCTCTCTTCATTCCTCTCCCTTCCCATTAGGTTCTCTCTCTCCCCCCACATCTCACGACTCTCACTTTCTATAACAACCTAACTTCTCTCTTTAATTAGCTTAATACATGTTCTATCCTCTCCTTCACTTCTATATCTAATTCCCCTCTATTCTCTCTACTTTTCCATAAAAATAGAGCCATAATTTATTAAGACTTGGTTTTCCAATTCAAACAATATTTATATCCATAGATGTGATTTCAAGCAAAGAGAGGGGAATAAGGGGAATTCGATGTCTCTAATATATTCATGGCATATTCCATATTATTAAATAATCTAATATTTAACAAATATTAAATAATTTAATAATCTACCAAAAATTAATAAGCAATCCATTATCTAATAACTTCTAGTTATTAATAAATGTTCAAAATTTCAACTTTTAGCGTAATTTACATTAACCGTTGTAATTTAATAAAAAATCATTAATTTTTTACAATAGTAATTTATCGATAAAAGATATTACTAATTAGTGTAATTTAATAGTTTCTATAAAATCAATAATTATAGTTAACAATTATCAAATAATTTAGGGGAAATCTTTAACTAATAATCCATAATTATTTTTTAATAAGTAATTAAAAAATTAAGAAATTAATCTATGAACAAAATATTCTCCAAAACTATTTAAATAATAATCAATTATTATTATTCAACAAATAATTATTAAAAAATCTAGGAAACTTAAATTAGGAAATTAATCTATTACAAATTGTCCAATAATTATTTAAATAGCAATCCATTATTATTATTATTATTTTTTATTATTATTTCAATAAATAATTTAAAAAATTATCAAGTTTATCCACACCAATCTAGACCACTTGGTTGACTTATATCATACTTGGTTGTACATTAATTAACAACAAATGGTTTACTTTTAATTAAAAATAATATAATTTACCATAATTACATTTAGGGCTGTTCATAAGAATGCCCAACCTGACCCGAACCAAACTAGTATTCTACTAGTTTGGTAGTTCCTATTTCCTAGTTTGAGTAGTTTCCTAATTCCAACTAATCTTCTACTTTTAGACTTCTACTAGAACTAGAACTCTAAAAGGCCCATTAGACAATTACAATTAGAATTCAATTAGGTGTCATTTTTTAGTTTTTTACCTAGATTAGAATTTAGAAGGTTTTTAAATTTTTATTTTATTGATTTACTTACCTAGATTTACCTAGTTTTTTACTCTAGAAGGCCCATTATTGACACTTGTTTTTACATGAAGAATTTATTGATTTTATTATTTACCTGAATTAAATTTAGATTTATCTTGGACTCTTGAATATCAAATTATCAACTAATTTAGATTTTATTTGGCTTTGTACAAGAACAAAACCAAAACCGACCCAACCCGACTCAAACCGACCACATCAGTTTGGCCTATCAGTGGGTCGGTTTCGGTTCCCACCTTGGCTAACCTGACCAGGTCGGGTCGGTTGGGAAAATCCCAAGAAACCGATCCAACCCGACCCGTGAACACCCCTAATTACATTAATTTATTGTAATTACATTTCCTTTGATTAATAGTAAACAATTTAAGCTTAAAAAGTAAATAATTTACATTAATTCATTGTTATTGTAAATAATTAATTTACCATACATTACTATTAATCAATAGCAATTTCAATAATTTATTGGAAATTATCATAAATTATTGTAATCTATTGTTATTTAATTAGTTATAAAAAATTATTAGAATTATAGGGATGGCAATTTTCCCTATAAAACTGGGCCTTACCCTACCCCACCAGTTTTCTTAAATCTTAAACGAGGATGGGGTAGAGACGGGGTGGGGGACATGGAAAATATTTTTGCCCAAATTAGGGATGGGGTTTGCATATAATTCCCCAAACACGATGGTAAATTAGTAAAATATTTGTAGATTTAAT